TACGCGGATCGCTCGCTTATCATGTTGGATAGTCTACTGAAGGAAGCCACGTAAAGTAGGTAGTGTAAATAGGTATTTTTCTTTGANAAATATTTTCTAAGTTACGTAAGTTTTAACTAAAAACTGTTAATATTCTGTTTAACAGTTTATTGAGTTATAAGAAAAAAGTCATAAATGGTCGATAATTAAAATACTTTCTACAATTTTTCATCTCAATGTGTTTGAAATCTTTAAGTGGGCAATAGCTATACGGTTTACCCTACATTTCTATTTATTTTCATCTGGTAAAACTTACGATTGGCTGTGACTGTCTTGGAATTTTTTTGTCACTTAAATGTCGTTTTGTGCGATTAGTCATGATTTTTATTGTATTAATTATTATTTTTTAATTATTCGGCTGCAATCTGTACTATGGCTCATTTTCTATTCTCATTATTTTAAATTATTAATTATATTTTACGATTAATTTAATAATACAGAGCCCGCTCCATCGATTAAGTGTTTATGTCTATTTTTTGTGCTTTAATACTTTTTCAAAAAAGCAGTATTTTCATCAAAACAGTGCTTTTTGAACTGATAATAATATTTTTGTCACTTTGCCTAATTATTAGGTTGAATGGAAATATGTAAAAATAATATAAATAAAGAGAGAATTTTATTTTAATTGTAATAATATTCTGAAGCGAAATGCTCATGTAAATAAAATGACGTAGTGTATAAAGTTATAATATGTTAGAAATACACAAAAACTACATATTTTTTACTGTCTTTCATTCCAAAACCCAAATTGAACCACATGCAAGTAATAGTTGCAATTATAAAAAAAAAACCGACTCCAAAAAACCTACACTAAAACGTAGAAAAATAATTACTAATTACCTACATAATTATTAGGTCGGTGCAGGCAAACTTTACATGTTTTATAATCTTGGCACCGACTCCAGAAGTATCAATCATGGTATACCTACATAAATATTAATAATTCGTCCTAATAAATAAGTAGGTAATTAGTAATTATTATTCTACGTTTTAGTGTAGGTTTTTTGGAGTCGGTTTTTTTTTATAAAATGTTACTTATTTCTTGCTTTTTAGTTAACTAATTATTACCTTGATGTTACCACTGAAGGTAGGCAGTACACTGAGACCAAAAAAAATTGGTTCATAATCGGCGGAGATATTGCGTATAAAAAAGTTCATCCCCAATTTTCCACCCTTGGGGGTGAAATATTTTCTTCAAATTCGCAAAAAATTTGCAATACCTAAACTAGGTTACTAAGTTTTAAGCACTGTATTTAGTTATAAGACCTTATGTACCTACACTTAGTGAGCAAATAAATGAATATGAATATGAATATGAATATGAATATGAATATGAATATGAATATTGCGTATAAAAAAAGTTCATCCCCAATTTTCCACCCTTAGGGGTTGTTTTTTTATTATTAAATTTAAATGGGACCACCCTTGAGGTATTACCTATACGCCGAAAAAAGATTTGTTCACATCGGTTCATAATTGGCGGAGTTATCGCGTAACAAACATAGAAAAAAAAACATAGCAAAGAAGAATCTACTCAAATACATTTAATTTTGTTAAATAAACATATTTAAATACCTATAAAAACCGCACAAAAATATTTATATTGCGCGGTATCAAACCTCTACCTCAGCAATTGCATGCAGCCGCCTGTCTGATTATTTGATATTACTTATTATACTGAAACGAGAAAGTAAAGAAAGTTCACTTACCTCTGTGGTTACCTTATAAAAGTTGTTGTGTAATTTACTTATACCTCTTGTTCCCACCGCTGCCGCTGCAACTCCTGGGTAGCCAGGATCTACAGCTTGACCGCCAATAAAAACCCAACCAGTGAAGCTCAAGTTTGTCCCGGGGAAAAGTTAACTGTCATTGGACCCGCAACAAAATTAATCAGAAGAACATGAGGAATTCGAAGTTAAGGTTCGTAGACTGGCCAGCATGGAGAGTGTAGACCAAATCCTTCCATTTGCCTCTGGTAAATAAAAGACAGTCGTCAGACAGAGACTAATGCCCGTTTTCACCATCAATCCCTAATTTTTAAGTGACCCCTATGGTAACATTTAACAGGAATTAGGGATTGATGGTAAAAACGGGCATTAATTACCTAATGATCTAAGATGTCGATGGTACGCTTTCTCGGTTTTCCTAAATGTGAAAAGCTTTTTGAAATAAAAGCACAGGGAATTTCAAATTTTATAATTTTTGTGAAATAAAAAACACGATGTACCTATTCGATCTTAATTTTGTTATGAGAAAATTGCTAGGTAACGAAAGTTATAAAAGTCACTATACAATTTATTACAGTCAAAAATAGGGGCCCCCTATTTCTTCCTAGACACATAAAGTTAATTAGGCTGGAAAAGTCTTATTTGATAATTAGAAGTTCACTGACTCTAATTAATTAATGAGTTCAGTTACCCCATGGGTTCTATGATGTTATGTTATGGTGGTAACTAACTACAAGTAAGTAGGTATCATAGCATGACTAGGCATATCAAAAACACTGGAGAAGACCTTGGCTCAGCAATATTTAAAAAAAGAACAAACGCACGAATTGACAACCTCCTCCCTTTTTTAAAGTCAGTAAAAACCAATCAAGTGCGGTTTGAGTTCACACGAGACGGGTTGCGTAGTTTGACTATCGTATAAAATTAAGATTTGTGCTCTTATAAATCTACCTATTAGAGGTTTTTTAGGTAAATGCTTTTACCTCTTTTTCTGCACACCGTTTCCTCTTTTCTGCGGCAAGAAAAATATAAATAAGTATGTAATACCTTACATATATTTATTGTTTTTCAACTTTACCTCACTATGGCTGGGTCGCATCATCTTACTTTAACTATGACAAACGTCAAAAATCTGTCAAACTCCATAAAAAGTACAACGGTTATCGTTATAGTTACGGTCAAAGTTAGGTGGAGCAAGTCAGCCTACGTAACCAACAAACAAAATGATAGAAGGACAACGCTTACCTAAATTACTAGAATCTGGCACCAAATGGATACGGAACTCTACAAAATATCCTTGTAGTTTATTACCAGATTTACCTACTCCTAAGACGATGATCCTTCTTCGATGCAATCACTTACTGTTCATTAATATTCTCTCAAATTATGACACGAAGGTCTTCTTCTTCAAACTATTTTGAGGTTGTGATGTTTTTAAGAGACGAGGTTGCATTGTACCAATAACTTTCTTCCGTGATAACAAGGCCTTGATGTCAACGAACGAGAGTGATAATGATCTTATTTCCTAATGATGTAATGTTTAATCTGGTTGTGTCATTAAAATAGGAAAAGTGGACACAGCTACGTAAAATTTCAGTGCAAATACTGGTATTTTATCAACATCAGCAGGTCGTTTTCCTCTGCAGGAACAAGACCTCAATTTACCAGCTAGCACCATCTTACCTAAGTCTGTCGCCATAACAACAATGTTAACAGCATTGTTGTGTTCCGGCAGTAGTTAAAGGTAAGATAGCCAGTTCCTCCGTGGTTGAGAATTCCGGGTGAAGCTCGCTTCCACCTTCGGTCTGATCGTCACTTACCATCAGGTGAGATACAGGCCAAGAGCTTCCTCGTTGTGGATAAAAAAAATTGCCAGAGACAAATGGAGAATTTGGCATACATTCACCACCCTGGTCAGACGGGTAAGGAGGCCTCTCTGCCACAATGTTTCACTGGTATCGTCTTACTGATAAATTTAAAAGATGGAGAATTGCCACCTAACCTGTAAGTAATATAATGTCTTAAATTTTAGATTGGGCTGCCACAACTGACGCCAATATCCTGGTCCTATCAGAATTCAGAAGACGACTCTTATAAATGCTTATGTCGTCTTCTAACCAATTATATTAAATTATGGTTTCATTAAAACGAGCCCCTTTAAAACATCCCCACTCCTTTTTATGATCTTTTTATAATGTCAACACAAAATAAATATTAAATGTACGTATTTAATGTATTGTGTCAAATAAAGTTTTTCTTATTCTTATTCTTATTCTTAAAATGAATATGATTTTTTTATGTTTTTTATAAGGGCAATGTTATGCCACTTCCTACTTCCTTGTCTATAACACATGGACTGCAAATCAACTGCATTTTATTTGAACCTACTCAGCAAGCAACACACTTATCAAAATCTTCTTGAATTAAGTGATGATGACTTGTGTTGTGACCTATTTAAAAAAGTCTTCCTACCAAATTGCCATAAGCAAAGGTACTATCCAAAGCCATATCACATCACCCGTTATATTATGGCAGTGTTCGTCTCTAAAAGCATAGTTCATCAGAGATGCATAGGCAAGTGATGAAGTGACAGTGATCAGAATCAATAGAAACAATGTCTTCTGCAGCCTGTAGGAAGTACTTGGATGCAGACAGCGCTGGACCGGTCGTTATGGAAATCCTTGGGAATACCTTTGTCCAGCAGTGGACGTCGTTTGGCTGAAAGGAACGAAATACGTCACCTTAAGGAAGAAGAGGTACCATTGAAAAAAAAAAAGCATGAATGATACCTGTCCAACCAGTTTCCAAACGGAAAAAGTTATTGCCACATATTTTAAACTGCTAATAGTTAAATTCAGGCTGATGCATTTTACATTGTTTTCCTTTCTTATCAGCATGAGATCACATTTCCCCCCGGAATCTTTGCGAGCGCATACAAAAACAGAGGAAATGTAAACATTCGGTATATTTTGAATATCCAAGGCCCACCTTATCGATTAGTTTACATAATTTCGAGAATCCTTTATCAGGAACTGTAGGAGTAACGAACCTTGCGCGTGTTTATCCTATGACAGGTCTGCCATTATAAAAACACGCGCAGGAGTGTCCGATACACACCTCCTGAAGACTTCTGCTCGCCTGGTACTCGGAGTAGAATTTCGCGAATTTAATTTCATTAAATTAAATTAAATTAATACCTACGAATATTTAATAAAATACTTAGGTAATCTCAAAAGAAAAATATTTAATTATTATTTGATTTTTGCAATTTTTTTTTAAATATTAAAATCAAAATGGCGCGAATGCTCTTCATCCTCTTTTTGGTGTTTGCTGGATACAATGCTGTACCAATAGAGCTAGACAACTACATAGACTCGCTATTGCCTGACGAGCTGATGGGGAATGGCATTGATGATGGAGACGACGCCATTGATATCTCCCACTTGGGCCCAGATGCTTATGGATCGCCGAAGAACGAAAGCGGTAAGTCGAAATTTTTAAATATAATCTTACCCTTTCTCCCCTATTCAATAGGCATTATGTATAGTCCAGTCAATGAATGCCTTAACGACGGTGTAGAGAGAAATCCGTGGAACACAATTTCTGACCTCGGGACTTTATTTAGCCTAGTTAGGTGGTAAACATAGCAAAAGTCCCCGCCCTTAGCTCTTGAGCCGGCGGGGAGAGGGGGGTTTAAAGGTACCACTTTTCGGTTTTTCGCTTAATCCTCGGAAACTATGCGTCCTAGTGACATTACTAATATGAACCAAAAAAAGCTTATTCAATTTGCTACAGGTGAGACCGTCAAGTTTTTCTATATCTTGTATAGTTTTTGCGGCATCTGCTCTAGAAGGTCTGTAAAATTGGAAATTTTATTGTTGTCTTACATGTTCCTTTCAGGAGAAAATCGACTAAATCAACATTGAGCAAACACTATAGACATGCGGGAGCATGTTAAGCCTAGTTCCATGGAGGGGACTGCACCGTGCGTATATTTAGACGAAACAATTAGAGCCACTTTTGACTCCTCATCATTCAAAAACTACTGTGCATTAACACTTCAAATTTGGCTCATGTATTGAGACTTGCAAGATATACATCAGCTTCAAATTTCGTAAATATACCTCAAACGGTTATTTAGGTATTGACGTTCAAAAATCGATATTTAGAGCACTAAAATCTATCTATCACATGTGAAATGTTAAAATTTACTGGTTTTTTTATTTGTTCCTTTGTATTTACATAACGACCTTTCTGGATGCCAAATTTGAACCTTCGAGGTCATCTGGAAGTGGTTAGAATTTGGTCTATAGGTCAGACATGTAGATTTTTGGACGTCAATATCTAAAGAACTGTTTGAGGCATATATATGAAATTTGAAACTGATGTATATAATCTTGCAAGTCTCAACACATGAGCCAAATTTGAAGTGTTAATGCACAGCACTTTTTGAGTGATGAGGAGTCAAAAGTGGCTCAAAGTGATTCGTCTAAATATACGCACGGTGTAGTCCCCTCGCAGGAACTAGGCTTAACATGCTCCCGCATGTCTAGAATGATTGCTCAATGTTGATTTAGTCAATTTTTTCCTGATGAGAACATGTAAGACAAAAATAAAATTTCCAATATTACAGACCTTCTAGAGCAGATGCCGCGAAAACTATACAATTTATAGAAAAACTTGTCTATCTCACCTGTAGCAAATTGAATATGGTTTTTTTGGTTCAGAGTTAAAAAAAAGTCTGCTTATTTATTGCCATTAAGGCGGAACAAAGTTCGCCGGGTCAGCTAGTTAAAATTAAAAGCGAAAATCCTTCCTACTAATATTATAAAGGCGAAAGTACTGAAAAACTACTGAACGGATTTGGTTGAAACTTTACAGTATTATTATTTGTAACCCAGATTAACGTAATGCTATAAAATTTATCCGAATCTGTGGCACTAAATTTCACGCGGGTGAAGCCGCGGGCAAAAGCTAGTATAAAATAAGTGAAAGACTATGTCTCGAAATAAAAGTTTTGTGTCATATTATTGGCCCTAAAGTTATTGCACAAAAATCTATGACCTAAGATTTATCTTTTTTTATTAAGAAACATTATTTCGACTAAGAATCGCCTGCAAGGTGGTAAGTCTGTAAAAAATATGGTTACAGATAAGTTCCTGATGGGCTATCGGGACCTTATTATCAAAGTTTTAGACTTCAAATGGTTTTCACATGTCGTGAAGTAGGTCAAACGTCATTATTAGCAGTCGAAGTGTCGATCAAACTGTGAAGTTATCAAGTGTTCAGCCGAACATTGTTCGCCTGACAGGTGTCGATAAACGGTGATAACTTATTTGGGAATGACGGCTCATTTCCTACACTTTATGGCATCCTGGTAGATTGATAAGCAGTTTATGGCTACTTTTCCCTGTGTGAGGGAAAGTCAATGAAAGCTGCTATCAAATGTTATAAGCTGATAAATTAATTCATACATTTCCCCCAACTCCTTCAACAGTCGAAGGCACCTCAAAATAAAAGGCATCCAGGTAGTTGTTAAAGATTCTTTCGAATGAAAAATTTAATGTAGTCTGATCTGCTGTACTATGGCAATCAGACAAAGATTCTTTTTCTCTAAATGTATTATTAATTTTCTTCTGATTAATTCCGTTGCGGGTCCAATGACAGTTTAACTTTCCCCCAGGACAAACTTGACCTTCATTGGTTGGGTTTTTATTGGCGGTCAAGCTATAGATCCTGGCTGCACAGGAGTTGCAGCGGTGGGAACGAGAATTGGGAATAGTCCCGTCTAAATGTATTAGCTTTTTCTACCCACAAAGTGGGCAACCCACCACCACCCATGGCCATGCCAACCTTGCGGTTATAACTGGCCGAATCGCGGGAGATGCGCTCGAAACTGCGTCTGCCGTAGCAGGTTGCACTCTGCCTCGCGCAACGCTTGACTCCCTACAAATTCTTTGATCTATACCACAAAGTGGGCAGACGACCTCATAAAAGATACTTATAGCAGGAGGGCACTGCATGGAGGCCGCTACCAAACGATCAATCTGGAAATCATTAGGGGATGCCTATGTTCAGCAGTGGACGTTCTATGGCTGAAATGATGATGATGATGACATTATCTCTGTTTCAGGTGAAGCCCTCTCTCAATGGACGGAAGACTCCCTCATGAACCCTGAAGAAATGGGAGAATACGCAGAAGGTGACATCCTCATGCCCTCAGCTACAGTCAGGAACGGCATGCGGGACCAGACCTTCCGGTGGGCGAATGGCATCATCCCTTATGTCATTGAGGGGTACTTTAGTAAGTCATCATGCATCATCATTGAATTTCAAGATACTCATAGTTAGCGCCAAAAATATTCGAAGCCATGCTTTTATGAAGGTCGATGCTTGCTCAAGTGAAGCAGCAATTCGAACGCACAACGTTGAATAGAGCTCTGTGATTGGTACGTGTGTCACCCTGTGCGTCCACGCGCACCTGTGAGATTTCATAGTAATGTTTGTGAATACGGGCGTTAGTTTTGTAAAAGGAACCAGCTTTTTAAAGATCTTCATTTACTAGAGTAGTACTTATTATTATTCTGTGCTAGAGTGTGAGCTGTAATAATAACCCTTTGAGCTGTGATATCAATGTTAATGGCGGCTTCAAAAATTGAGGAGATACAAATAAAGAAATATAAAATTTTTAGAGTAATTTACCGACTCTGTTGTTAAGTTTGTCAGACAACAGTCACCCGGCTAGCATAGTAAATTTCAGTGTCCAGCTCCTACCTCTGATAGAACTCCAGAGACAGTAAATTATTATTATTCTAAAACATTATGTTTGTGGTAATCTGGCATCTATACAAGAGTCTCACTATAATACTAACAGAAAGTACATAATGTCCTATCCTCAGACCAGCAGCAACGCGACATGATCATGAAGGCCATAGCCGACTACCACCGGCTGACCTGCCTGAGGTTCGTGCAACGCCAGTCGCAGCAGGACTACATCGCGATTCGCAGCCAGAACACTGGGTGCTGGTCCAGTGTTGGGCGTATAGGTAAGTAAAGGCGGTATATCAAGTTCACACTGTCAACTACATTTTTTTATGTGACAAGAGGCAAACGAGCAGACGGATCACCTGATAAGATACTCGTAGTAGTTTGAATTTGGAACAAAAATAAATTATTTTTGTTGCAAAATAACGCCTACTCGTATTCCAGTCGCATTCTGGCAGTCTAATGTGCTGGCTCAGCAATGTATCTTTTTGGATCTCGCCGAAAAGAGAGTAAGGGACTGGTTGAAAAAAACGTTCAAAAATACTTTCTGTAACATATTCTGTGGAAGTGTTGAGGATGATGTAATTTTACTGTAGGAGTTTATGCCAACCTTAACATTCTGAGGATTACTATTAAGGTCTTAATTCAATTGAGATCGCTCGAATTTATTCCCCGGGATCTGTTAGAGATCAGTTGATAGAATCAAACGAAGACTATCGAGTAAATGATGAGTTTCGATAGTGTTCGTTGCGGCAATCGAATTTATGAGTGATTAAATCTCAGCAACACCATTATACCACAGGAGGCCGACAAGAAGTAAACCTGCAGGCCCCAGGCTGTGTCTCCAAGAAGGGAACAGTTCTTCACGAGCTACTTCATGCCATCGGCTTCATGCACGAGCAGAGCCGCCCCGAGAGAGACGACTTCGTTACAGTCCAGTACAACAACATTAAGCCTGGTAAGTGGATCTTATCAACACCTTTTTACTATAGGAGATTGAATGCAAGTAAACCTAGAGCTACAAGGCTGTGTCTTCAAGAAGGGAACAATTCTCCACGAGCAGAGCCGCCCCGAGAGTGACGACTTTGTTACAGTCCAGTACAACAACATTAAGCCTGGTAAGTGGATTTAACAACACCTTTATACTATAGGAGATTGAATGCAAGTAAACCTAGAGCCAACCGGCTGTGTCTTCAAGAAGAGAACAAATTCTCCACGAGTAGTCGCTCCGAGAGAGACGACTTCGTTACAGTACAGTACAACAACATTAAGCCTGGTAAGTGGATTATAACAACTGTATACTATAGGAGGTCGAATACAAGTAAACCTGCAGCCACCAGGCTGTGTCGTCCAAAAGGGCACAATTCTCCACGAGCAGAGCCGCCCCGAGAGAGACGACTTCGTTACAGTCCAGTACAACAACATTAAGCCCGGTAAGTGGATCTTAACAACACCTTTATATTAAAGGAGATTGAATGCAAGTAAACCTAGAGTCACAAGGCTGTGTCTTCAAGAAGAGCACAATATACTCCACGAGCAGTCGCCCCGAGAGAGACGACTTCGTTACAGTCCAGTACAACAACATTAAGCCTGGTAAGTGGATCTTAACAACACCTTTATACTATAGGAGATTGAATGCAAGTAAACCTAGAGCCAACCGGCTGTGTCTTCAAGAAGAGAACAAATTCTCCACGAGTAGTCGCTCCGAGAGAGACGACTTCGTTACAGTCCAGTACAACAACATTAAACCTGGTAACTGCGTCTTTATTGGTTAAGATAGCTTCTTTATGAACAGTTGTTATTTGTCTGTTATTGTTTCACTGTATGTTTTCCGAACAAAATAAAATAATAAGACTACACAGAGTGGAATCATTCATCAGTATTAAGATTCCCTAATTCATACGATACTTTTTTTTTAATCTCCTTCAAGGCATCGAGAAATACTCGTATAAGAATCTCGTAGGAAACGAAAGGACAGACAGACAGACAGACATGACGAATCTAAGGGTTCCGTTTTTGCCATTTGGCTACGGAACCCTAAAAAATGGTTAGAACCTATGATCACAACCAAACTAAGCTAACATATATTCGCTCTCGCAGGGACCGAGAACAACTTCAGGAAAGCTGAGAAGAAGAACACAAATGACTTCGGGGTCACGTATGACTACAACAGCGTCATGCACTACTCTGAGTACGCCTTCTCCAAGAACAACAAGAAGACTATTGAGCCCAAGGTAAGATCCGGAACGAAGTATTTCTTTATTTATGTCAACGTGAAATTGTGAACTCTGTCAGTTTATAATGTAACGCGTTAGATTGTAAACTAACAGTGGGTTAGGTTAGGTTAGATTGTAATTTAACTACGTCAGATTATAATCTGACGGAATTCACAATTTTACGGTGACATTTATAAAGACCTTATTGATAATATGCTAATGAAACATTAGCCCGTCGTACTTTTTCTGATCGTGTCGACAACAAACCTACACAGTGTCAGCCCAAAACTCTGCTACAAGAGTGGCGTTGTCAGCAGCAGTCATTAAATCCTTCTGCCTGCAGTTGTTCGGGCACTCAGGGCACAACATCATGTGCTTCATCGACTGGGGAACAAAACCGCATCTGCACCCCATGTTTGAGCCATGCAAGAATCCCCACCTGACCAGATTGTCCTTACTAAGCTCGAAATATGCTTGTGTCACGAGTGGGCTCACCAAAATAGTCGAGCGGCGGCGGGGTTCGAATCCGCGTTCCTCGGATGACGAGTCGGCTAGTCCGACTCTTTCACCGTTTGACTATCGTGGCTTAAGTAATTCGGCAGAAGACAGAAGTAATGAACATAGTCCAAAAATGTAGCAAGCTAAAGAGGCAGTGGCCATATCTGTCGCATATGAAAGAAAAAGTAAGCGGGTTTTCAAATTGTGACGTTTTGGCAAATTAACCTACTAGATGGACCGACGATATCAAGAAGAGATAGATTTAAAGTTTGACTTGTTTGAAGAGACCACGCAATAAAAGATTTTGAATCAAACGTTTTATGAAAGATTCACTCTTTACAAAGGTCCAAGTGACACAACTGTAGGTAGGGTAAACCAGAGAGTGATTGCCCACTGGTAGTGATTGCCCGCTTTAAGAATAATATTGTCAGGTGCTGACTTTGAATCACTCTAGTTAGATTTGAATTTACTAAGTAGATGGCTCCGAGATCAATGTACAGTAGATTTAAAATTTACAATAGGAAACACTAAAAAAAAAACAGTTATGGCGGATTTTGTCAAGACGGGTGAAAATGTTACTCAAACAGGTAAAGACTTTAACAATTTTACTAAGGAATTACTTGCTTAGAGGTTAAATTGTTTTTGCAAGTTATTTAATATTCAACTAATGGTGTATAGTCATGATGAAATTAGAAGTGTTTTCTCCATTATCAATGAAAATAACTGATAAAATTTGATTTCTAACGGTAATTTTAACGGTGGGTAATCACTGCACGTAAATCTGTATATTTTTAGTTATTGCCCACCATCATTTCAGTTATTGCCATATGTTAATGTATAGTTATTGCCCAGGACAATTATTATTAGAGTGTTGCCACCATACAGTAGCAGTGTTTAAGTTGCTCATTGCTAGACTTGTTTTGCAATTTACAGGCATAAATATTGAAATGGCTTTTAATGTTTCATTTTCAGTAAGTATGCCAGACTCCAAAAGTTCAATATAGCATAGAACATTTGCAAAAAGCGATCGAAGCTGTACAAGATGTATCCAACAATTTATCTACAAGATAAATTGCTGAAAAATATGGTTTGGCTTGAAAAAATTGATAAAAATTCAAACGCAAATACAAAAAATGAAAATCTTACGTTAAATCTACTAGTAAAAATGTTAATTGTAAGGAAATAGATACAACATTAGGGAAGAATAACCAAAAGCTAATTGAACATTCTGAGCAACCACTTGAACTGATATCAAAGAAGATAAAAAAATAAATACATATAAAATTTACATATAAAACTCAAATTTTTGCGTCATCTATGTTTTGAAGTAGATGATTCTGTCTCTACCGATTCTGACTCATCAACATCAGCTCAAGAAATATTTGATAATAATTATGTTAATAAGGCCAAACGCAATTTATTTTGAAATTATTTTGAAATTTTGAAGACTGTATTACTAGAATTTAAGTTTATGTTTTGTTTTGTTTATTTAAAGCCTATTTTGTCATTTTAAACTTGATTATTTTGTTTTAAGATACTGGGCAATTACTGTGCTTTGATGTGGGCAATTAGTGTAAGTAATGGGCAATGACTGTACTTTTTGGAGGATTTTAAATTTATTTCAATATTTTCTAAGTTACGTAAGTTTTAACTAAAAACTGTTAATATTCTGTTTAACAGGTTATTGAGTTATAAGAAAAAAGTCATAAATGGTCGATAATTAAAATACTTTCTTTAATTTTTCATCTCAATGTGTTTGAAATCTTTAAGTGGGCAATAGCTATACGGTTTACCCTACTCCATAAATCGGTGAATGTCTGACCACCATCGGCATGTTTATCCATTTGTTATGAGCGACTCAAATCAATGACAACAAAGTTTATTCAACTGTTTGATGTTATCAAAGAACTACCCATGAAATCATTATGAACTGTATTTATCCAGGACAAAGTCTGATCGAAATCAGTAATGTTTTATCAAGTTTATTTTGAATATGCAAATCTTCTCACTAAATCAATTTTTGGCATAATATTATGTTTGATATAAAAATAAGTAAGGCTGAGTTGCACCAACTAAGGCTGGGTTGCACCATCTTACTTTAACTTTGACAAACGTCAAAAATCTGTCAAATTCCATACAAAAAGCACCGGTTATCGTTAAAGTTACCGTCAAAGTTAGGTGGTGCAACTCAGCCTAAATGTGTTTGCTGACAACAATCCTTCCATCAACTATAGCGTTTTAATATTTATATTTAATCCTGTTAATGTTTTGTTGAAAATAATCGTTAATTTGTCTCAGGTGGGCGGAGTGACCCTTGGCCAGAGGGAAGGCCTCAGCAGGGGCGATGTCAAGAAAGTCAACAACATGTACAATTGCAAGAAAAAGTGAGTTGTTTCATATAAGTTACTATGTTTGTCAATAATTGGTGAAATTTTGTAAACAACTAAAAAGCTTTCTTAAAACAAAGTCCCCAGTTTGGCTTGATTCAAGCATCATCATCATCAGGTCATTCAGTCTCCATTGTAGGAGCATAGCCATCTCTAATATACCACAAATGGAGAATTTGGCATACATACCCCACGCTACTAAGATGAGCTGGTGGGAGTAACCAAGCATAGTCAGAAAAGGAATATGATTTCGTGCTTTATAAAGAGATAATCTTCTCTTCTTCATACCTTTCTGTTTTCTTCTTACAGTGAACCAGCCGGCAGTTCATCTCAAGGCGGCTGGATGGGAGGCATTTGGCAGTCACTCTTCGGCAACAGGATGGCCTAAAATGATCCTAAGCGCTACGAGTATAGCAATCTCAAATTATCTCTCGCACGAACCAAGGACTTCCCGTTGCTAGAAGAATCTTCATTAAGTAATTGAATTTCTCACTGATTTTGAGTACGAAGCATGTTTGCATGTCTATTTGTATGGTATTGCAAACAAATGAAATTTAAAAGCACTGTCTTGCAATATGGACATTTTAGACAATAAAATTAAATATTGCTTATTTAGTTCGTACTATGAAACAAAGCTCTAAACTCGATTTGAAGTCTTAAGCCTGTAATTGGTTGATTTTTTACTTGTTTATTCTGAACAGATTCATAGTTCAGCGTTGTGTCGAGTACTACAGGCAAGACAGTGCATTATTTTGATGTTATTTTATGGCCAATGTGTTAAATTAAGTGTTAGGTTAAAGTCCAAAGATCTTTAGTTTTAAGTATTGAGTGTTTGCTAGTCTTAGTTTTTGTACTTTCAATTGGATTTTGTGATTAAAAAATTTTGAACTTATTTCGATGTTCTTTAATAAGAATAAATCAATCGTCTCATACCATCGGAAAACGCAGCGTGTGACGTCTACCCATAAGGTGGACCAACGACATCTTAAAGGTAGCAGGGAAATGCTGGACGGAGGCCGCTACCAATTGATCAACATGGAAAACATTGGGGGAGGCCTATGTTCAGCAGTGGACGTCCTATGGCTGAAATGATGATGATGATAATGAATCGTTTCATAAAGGTAGTCTTAGGCGCATCTTAGGAGGCTCAGATCATACTATCTGAGTTAGGAGGGCAATTACTGCTGAATTCTCGACACATCTCGAGAAATATTTAAATTATTTCTAAACTTATAGAAATAGCTCCTCCTTCCTTTTAACTTTGACTTTAGCCAGGACTTAAAATACAGGGAGTAAAAAATAACTTCTTTATGACCATTTATTGAATTAAATAACTAATATATCTATTCGTATTCCGTGTCAGTTTTACAGCGCCTGTTGTTTTCTTCACAGAAGTATTGTTACTCAATTGGAGGAATATTCCTTAATTTCTGCTTCCATCAGGCACCTCATGAATCTGTAGGATCTCTCGCACTTGCATGATTCGTCTGGAAAATATAGAATTGCCAAAATTAAGTGGCAGTGGTTGGCGGGTTACATAGCTGCATGACTTTTGTGGCAGAAAAGTACTCGAGTGGTGACTTCGGACAGGAAAACGCAATGTCAGCAGGCCTCCCACTGGACCGACAATCAGAGACTGTGGTTGAAGCTCCTGGATACTGGAAACTCAGGATCGGTCATTGAGGAAATCCTGAGGGACCCTTTGTTAAGTAGTGGATGTCCTTCGGATAAAACAACAAAGGACAATGGGCAAAATGGTACCCGGCTCCAATAGATATGTGTCTAGTATCGTTTGAAAGGTCTTACCAAGATGAACAACTTTTACTATGACCACCAGCCTCAGATCTGGTTGTGTACGAAGATATACATACTTTTTTGCAGAATGGTACCCGGCTCCAATATTTATGTTTGTAGTGTCATTTGAAAGGTCTTACCAAGACGAACAACATTTACTATGGCCACCAACCTCAGATCTGGTTGCGTTCAAAGATAAAGATACTTTTTGTGTAACCTAAGTATCATACAGTATGAAGGGGGACGCGCTCGGGGCAGGGCACCGACGAGATGGTCGGACGCGGTGAGGATGACGGTGGGCGGGAGTTTGCATCGTGCGGTCCACACAGCTTATGAACACTATCTGTGGTCGCGATCCTCATCAGTGAGGGACCGAGGAAGAAGAAGAAGAAGTATCATACGTGTCCATCGTATGGTACTTAGGTTATGCGAGACAGGAAGGGTTTACTGCTCCAGCATCCTTCCTTAACTCTATAATTATTGATGGGGATAATTGTGAAATAAATATTTTTATTTAAAGAAGTACAACCCCCTTATTAATAAAAAGTTACACATAGGAAGAACCTTGGATTAAAATGACATTTCCATATTAAATGACAATTTAAGCCAGAGTTCAACTAGGGTGTAACTTTTATTAATAAAGGGGTTAAAGTTTTATTACTTACAGACAGACAGACAGACAGACAGACAGACAGACAGACAGACAGACAGACAGACAGACAGACAAAAATTTTACTGATTGCATTTTTGGCATCAGTATCGATCACTAATCACCTATAATATTATTTTGAAAATATATTTCATGTACAGAATTGACCTCTCTACAGATTTATTATAAGTATAGATTTTTAATTAGGTTTAGGTTAGGTTAATTAAGTAGTCAACTTAAAATGTATTTTTTTATTTTGGCAAATAAACTTTAACACCTTTAATTATGGAAATCATTGGGGGAGGCCTATGTTCAGCTGTGGACGTCCTATGGCTGAAATGATTAAAGTTAAGATGAGGGAAGTGGAACCCCACCAGGCCGGACAAAATGACGTACAAACATACTGTTAGTAGATATAATTTTAATGGTTTCCGCATCTGAAATAATCGGAGTAAATCACGATGAATGTGATTATGTGTTTATTATCCTCACGAAGTGTATTATTATGTAGAGCGATCTGGGAAAATAGGAATGGGCTTAAATTAGGCATGGAACATTTCATGAATAGCAGGTGAAAAATCATATGAAATGAATTTCATTAATCACACCTGCTATTTTACTTCACATAGACTGCTATAATTTCACAGTCAACGAAATCACGAATCACATGAATTTCATTCATTCATTCGAGCGAAGTTCGTGAGCGCAGCTCTGCGAAGCGACCGAGCGAGTAAGAAGGAATGATTTGATCATGTGCGTGTTAGAAAAGGACAAGAGATGTGATGACGGACGAAACTGGTCATTTTAAATATGAACTTTAAACTCAAAGGTGTAAGGTTTAGATTTCCTTGTCATGATTCGTGTGATTTCATTAGATAGCAGGCAGATGAAATGAATGATTTCCATTAGTCACGCGGTTATTAATGTGTTGTGAAACTGTTTGTTTTTTGTTGTGCGACATAAATGAAACAGATATTGTTACATTTCATATTTTAGCTAATTAGCAATCCTTCATCATAATTCACATTATATAAAAGAGTTACATTAAAACACTGCTAATAAAAATCATTGCCTGTGAAATTTCGCATGTGAAATCATATCAAAGGGGTTACNATCTTCTTAAGGGTTTTATTATGGGTTGCTAAAGCGAATAAACCCACAAGACCCAATAAGTCCACCCACAAGATGGACTGACGACCTCATAAAGGTAGCGGGAAGGCGCTGGATGCAGGCCGCCACCAACCGGCCATTGTGGAAATCATTGGGGGAGGCCTATGTTCAACTGGACGTCCAATGGCTAAAATGATCATGATGATGATGATGAAAGCGAATAAAGGGCTATTAGCTTGGGTAGTTCATCGTAGGTATAATCCTTTCCTTTTCAATGCTTCTTTTAGTTATATTAATAGATTGTAGTCATAATACATACTCGTATACATGGATGATTGTGTTATACTTTCATTATAATACTTAGTGGAATTGCTGCTTTCAAAACGTGAATTAGAACTGGCCCCATAGCAGACATATTCCTACATCTAAAGGCCTTTTAAAATATATATTGGTTATGGCTATTGGAGCGGGTACCACTTTCCATACATTTGTGCCCATCATCCTTTCCTAGACTTGACTACGGTCAGCACAGGTTTCATTTAAGTCCTGTACATTAGTCATACATGGCCCATTCGCCCCGTTCTCCCGAGGAAAATTATTTCTGCCCGCGAAATACTGGATCTTATTGCTATCACAATAAAAGAAAATACCTAACAGCCTCTGTGGTCTAGTGGTAAGACCACCTGCTTCAGACGCAGAGGTCCCGGGACTGATTCCCAGTGGGGGCAGATTTTTCTGTTCGGTTTCGTTGGTGGTAGGACTTGTTTGAAGTCCGCCTGGCTAGCTACCACTATTTTACCTAAGTCTGTCGCCAAAACAACAATGTTAACAGCATTGTTGTGTTCCGGCAGTTAGAGGTAAGATAGCCAGTTCCTCCGTAGTTGAGGATTCCGAGTGAAGCTCGATTCCACCTTCGGCCTGATCGTCAACTTACCATCAGGTGAGATACAGGCCAAGAGCTTCCTCGCTGTGGATAAAAAAAATAATAAAAAACTTACTGCGATCAGCACAGGCTTCAGCCAAGTCCTGTACATCAGTCATAGTCCTGCCGCCTCGTCCTCTCGCGAACACCTCGGCTCCGCGTGACTTTGGGTCTTATTGCTGTGTATTTAAAGGCGAGTGTCCTATACTTACTACGATCAGCGCAGGCTTCAGCCAAGTCCTGTACATTAGTCATAGCCCTGCCGCCTCGTTCTCCCGCGAACACCTCGGCTCCGCGCGACTTTGGGTCTTATTGCTGTGTATTTAAAGGCGAGTATCCTATACTTACTACGATCAGCGCAAGCTTCAGGCAAGTCCTGTACATCAGTCATAGCCCTGCCGCCTCGTTCTCCCGCGAACACCTCAGCTCCGCGTGACTTTGGGTCTTATTGCTGTGTATTTAAAGGCGAGTATCCTATACTTACTACGATCAGCGCAAGCTTCAGCCAAGTCCTGTACATCAGTCATAGCCCTGCCGCCTCGTTCTCCCGCGAACACCTCAGCTCCGCGTGACTTTGGGTCTTATTGCTGTGTATTTAAAGGCGAGTATCCTATACTTACTACGATCAGCGCAAGCTTCAGCCAAGTCCTGTACATCAGTCATAGCCCTGCCGCCTCGTTCTCCCGCGAACACCTCAGCTCCGCGTGACTTTGGGTCTTATTGCTGTGTATTTAAAGGCGAGTATCCTATACTTACTACGATCAGCGCAAGCTTCAGCCAAGTCCTGTACATCAGTCATAGCCCTGCCGCCTCGTTCTCCCGCGAACACCTCAGCTCCGCGTGACTTTGGGTCTTATTGCTGTGTATTTAAAGGCGAGTATCCTATACTTACTACGATCAGCGCAAGCTTCAGCCAAGTCCTGTACATCAGTCATAGCCCTGCCGCCTCGTTCTCCCGCGAACACCTCGGAAGCGCGCGCGGCGTCGAACGCACCCTCTTCAGACGCTACTCCTACGTGTTCGAGGACACACCTCACGTAGCACTGCAATAACTTATGTATTTAACAAAATCTAAATTTATATAACTCAAAGGTGACTGACTGACTGACTGACATAGTGATCTATCAAAGCACAGCCCAAACCACTGGACGGATCGGTATGAAAGGCATGCAGGTAGATGTTATGACTTATGACGTAGGCATCCGCTAAGAAAGGATTTTACGAAACTCCACTCCTAAGGGAGTAAAACAGGATCCACGCGTACGAAGTCGCGGGTGGCCGCTAGTTTTAAA